GACACTTGGTATCATTGGACTCAGTGCGCTGCTACGGATGAGCCCCAACGCACTCTGTCTGAGATCCAAAAAGAACTATCAGAGGAAACAGGCCCCAACCAGGCCGAAGAATCTGCGGACCAGGATTAGAAGCAGACGATAGAACCACACCCTGCAGCTGCCAAGAGCCAGTGGAGGGACAACAACAGGGTGACCGGTTCGGTGAACTTTGAAAAAAAAAAAAAAAAAAAAACTTTTTACACCAGAAGGGTTTTTATTTCACACCCTTCACAAGTTTTATAAGGGTTATATTTAACACCCTCCATGTATTTTGGGCTGATGTATGCTTGCTTTGCTTAGTTTGCCAATTTTGGGATATATCTTGCACCAATTGTAGATCCGAGCTGACTTTAAATGATAATATTGATCGCCCACCTGTTATGGCCAAAAGAAGATTTGGAGGGTAACACCGTTCAACGCGAGTCATACCCAGTGTTGTGGTACCCAAGTAGATTACATATCTTAGAATTCTGGGACAACAGGCGAGGGCTATGGAGATATAGGCGTCACTTATCCTTTACTGGTCCAGAGGAATTACTCAGAGCGGCTATCGTTGCTTATTATATGATTACTGGCATAGATCACTCGCGTTACCTGAACGGCCTGCTAAACTAAAACGTATCGCCCACTCTTGCACGTAAGATGTCGTGGCCATTCTCTAGCCCCCTCACCTGCGGTCAGCGGTGCGGGGTGGCATTAATTATTGCGGTATTAGCTGGAATCCCCCTCCTAATTGATTATCTCTGCACGGAGCCCCCACCTATCCGTGGCCCTGATCCCTCAAACATGACTTTTGTGTCACCTCTCCCAGTGAAGACCCGCTCCTCACCTGCGCATCTCATAGCTAGGGCGTCGCTAAGACTCAAAAGACGCTCGCCTTCCATTTCACCTTGCACACCTAGCGCGGAACGTATGATTACCCTTTGTGTCCCCAGTAACAGAAGTTGGGTAATAGAGATAGACTTCGCTAGCTTCCCTAACACACCTGTCTCTCCGGAACAGAAAATGGCAGGTAGCGCCAATCTGGCAGTGCACCTTTCCTCGGCGGTATGGTACCTCACTCTGGGAGGGTGGCCGGACTGGAGTTGGACCAATCTGGTGACGGAGACTGATCAAGACTGGACCAGCTACTCGAAGGGTGAAGCCCTAAAGTGGAGGGTCCAGAAGAAACTAGTAATGAGAAAAAAGCCTGATGGAACTGGGTTGATTTTTTCATTAAAGAATATTATATTAACATCCTGTCAGCTGTTCACTCTAGCGCCATGGACCGACCGCACTGCTCTGTATTGGCAAGTTGAGCTATGCACTAGTGGGGTTACGACCCCAGTATCGGCAGTAAAGGACGACAGTCCTACCTTTCGTGGTAGCCCGGTAGTGTACACAAATGGCGGCGGGAAGGGCCGCATTCGCATTAAGGAAGCCGCTGCAATATCGCAAGATGACCTCTTCCACATGTTGACTGGGGTCTCAGGAAGCACAAATAATTGGCTACTTCTTATGGAACAAGCTGCCAACAGAACACCTAGTGACTGCGTTGCTTGTATGTCTGCCAGACCTATGCCCAACGTTGTTCCAGCGTATGTTAATTCCACATGCCTCCTACATTTGACGAATGGAACAAAATCAGATTCCTGTGCTTTCCTGGATAAAATATTCACTGAGACGCCCAAGGCCATTTCTAATAAACCACCATTCTTCTCTAAGCGGGTAGCACCAGGTAACTTCACCTGTGTTAATCTCACAGGCACTAATTCCAATCTAGGGCAGATCAACTCTTCTTGGTGTGCTGACATTGTACACTCACATGGCGTGTTTTCTCCCACCCCTAGAGCTGACCTATGGTGGTGGTGTGGACAGAATACATTGCGCGACGGTTTCCCTCCCGACTCATCTGGACTCTGTGCCTTAGTTACTCTGATTTTACCAGTTTCTTTGATACCAGTAGACTCCTCCCCTGTAGAGAACCATTATTTATCTAGACTTAAACGCCCCAAACGCTCTATTTTCACCAAACACACTATTGTCCCAGGTGTATATGATCCAACCTACATAGATGCCATAGGAGTTCCTCGAGGGGTTCCTGATGAATACAAGCTGGTCGACCAAGTAGCTGCTGGTTTTGAAAACATTCCAATTATCTCTGCCATCTTCCCTGTAACGCCCAACAAGAATGTGGACAGAATCAACTATATCCATTTCAATGTTCAACTCCTAGCCAACTTTACCAGGGATGGCTTGGAGGCCGTACACGCTCAGCTATCTGCAACCTCTCTCATGGCTTTTCAAAATCGCATAGCTGTCGATATGTTGTTAGCGGAAAAAGGGGGCGTATGTGGCATGTATGGTGACCAATGTTGCACGTTCATACCCAACAATACCGCTGCGGACGGGTCCTTGACCAAAGCTATTGCCGGACTCAGAACATTGACAGACAAAATGAAGGATCATTCTGGTGTCGACACAACTATGTGGGACTCCATGTTCGACGTGTTCGGAAAGTACAAGACCTTGGTTTGGTCTATACTCCTATCGATAGCCGTGTTTACTGCCATCTTAACAACTTGCGGTTGTTGTTGCATCCCGTGCATAAGAGCTCTTATCCAGCGACTGATTACCACTGCTATAACACCTGAGCCTAATGATGTTGCCTTGCAAATGCCCCTGCTTCGCACCCAGCACCTGGATCAGGGTGACTCCCTCAGCCTCCCGGACTCCATTGTGGTGGATTCCGACGATGACGACTGTGACCCTTGAACATGTTTGATTGATTGATTTAGCTATAATATCCGCACGTAGTTTTGTGAATGCCTTTAAATTGTTTTTCTCTTGCTTGCAGATTGTTATGATGATTTGGTGATTTATTGTGATTTTTGTTTTTTAATTTTTATGCTACCTTTCTTGTATTTGGGTTTCCGACCAGGCCACACAACTGGGCTTTTACCCCTGCAACGGTCCAAACTCTGTGGGGGAGGTTTCCCCGGTTGAGTCGCCTTGCTCGAAGGTCGGCCTGCTCCAGATCGTCTCATGAGATCCGCTTTCTGGGGCCTTGGTCCTGGATCTCTGTGACTCTGGGAATGGCTCGACGATTTTTATTTTCAACTTATGTTGAACTCTTAATAGAGTTCAAAAGGGGGATTGAAGATATAAGATATGTACTTTTCTCTGTAATGCTCTCTCGTCCAGTTTAACTAGAAACTTGCATGCCTTAGCAGAAAGCCAAGTGCATGTTCTATCTTGCTCGGTACTTTCCACCCTGTACTGGTAAACAGGAACTAGGGTTTCCTGTTATTTCTCGACCTTTAAGCGCCTAACTCATATTTTGTGCAAGCTGTCAAAAAGTCTGCGGTTGAGTGCGGGCGTGTGGAGCTTCAATAAATACAGCCGCTTCAACAGAGGAAGACAGAATCTCAGAGACAGCTGTCAGGACAGAGCGCGGGTTCTGTATGAGGCTGTGAGCTTCTCCACTGCTGCGGTGAACTTTGAACAGGTTTCTGATTCTTGACTCCAACCCTTGAAGCAGAGAACAGAACATCTTCCATCCTCTTCTGATGACCTCGTACCTGTATTGGTTTTAACAGAGCATAAAACCAACAGTTTTTAAATAGTTATTACCGTGTAACTCAGGTTCAATTCTAGTTTTTACTTTTATTAATCATTCCCAGTAAATACTGATTTATACAATAATTACACTTTATTACAAGTATACACTTAAATTACACAATACACTTTAACTTACTATGTAATTACCATGTACTGTAAGTACTTAGGATTTAGGGGACTGTAAAAGGAGGTGTTACCAATGAATTAGACCTTTAATGGGCTATGTTTGTTTTGTGTTCACACACACACACACACACAGTGCAGCGGGCGCACATGCGTCATTTACCCAAACAAAGCCATTCAGTCAAACATGGAAGAGATATAATTCCTCTCACTGATTGGACTTATGTTAAGCATAATTCTGTGCACACGAAGACGCATAAGAGACCTGGATGATGAAGCTCAATGGTTAAAAGGAATCACGGAAGCGGTGTGATGCGCTCCGTTGCGCGTCTAGATGGTACCGTAGGAGGCTTGTATGGAAGGCCAAAATGTCGCCATCTCTTAACTAGACGTTGGGAAAGTGGAGTATTTCAGTGGTTTTGGCTTTCCACAGACGAGGTGCCATGGTTCGCCGGGTTCGCCGCATGTTATACAGCAGCGAGCTATCCAGGTGTGCACAGCGTCCCCCGGTCCCCTCCTCCTCCCCCTCCTCCCTGTCCGGAACTCTACCTCACCAGTCTGAAGCAGCCACCTTGTCCGTAACAAGTCCGGACCTGTTACTAGGGGCTTCGTCCGGATAAATTCCGGGACACGTTATCCAGATGTTTGTATTCAGACACAAAGGTCTTACGGACAGAGTCTGGAACATTTCCGTTTTTCATGGCCTGTCTGAAGGGGGCTTTACTTGCAATTTGCTCTTTAAGAATAAGATTTTCTGTTCATATTATGTGTATAACTTGTAAAGTTTGAGTAGTTTAAAGACACACTGTGGGAAGTATATGTACATATCTGCATTCTTGTCAGTTCTTAAATGCAAAGATCACTGCTACTCTCATCATATTTTTCAGGTTATGGTGTTATTGCCACTAAAAATATTGATCCAGGAGAATTCTTGCTGGAGTATGTTGGAAAACATATCACTGGGTTGGAAGGAGAGGCCCTGTATAAACGTTACTCAGACGTGGATGCAGCATTTTTGTTTTTCTACTGCTTCCAAGGAGAAACTTTTTGGTAAGTACAATTACACAAACCTCCTAACTAGAACTAGAACAAGTTCATCAATAACTGTAAGTAAGAAGTCCTGATTTGCAGTGTTGATGGCAGTAAAGATACGGCAAGACTTGGACGATTCATGAATGACGATCACATCAAGCCAAACAGTAAAGTGAAAATAGTAAGAAACACAGAAGTGTTATGTAAAAACATTTCAAACAATATGCTGACTAATTCATTTCTGTCTGTTCCTTTTTGGTCCAAAGGTACTGGATGAGCAGAAAAGACCCCACCTGTGTGCATTTGCAATCAAAGAAATACTAGCAGGAGAAGAAGTTGTTTATGACTATGGAGACTCTAACTGCTCATGGCGACAGGTATTTATATTTTTATTTACATCCATTGTTTTTATCCATTGCATGTTTTATTATAAGCCATTAGTCTCAAGGATTACACCATTGTCATCTCTTAACATTAGTGATATTGTAAATGTGTTTTGGAAACTGGTATAAATGTATTTATTAAATACATTGAAACACTTAAAATGCTTTCTAAAGCTTATCAATGAGTAAAATAAAACTTACATATTTTAATTTCATACTGTAAATGTCTTTTTTCTTCTTCTTCTTTTTTTTTTTAGAAAACCTCTGTGTCTCCTTGTAGTGAGCACATGGAAAAGAAGGTGAAGCTATGTGGAGGTTTTTTGCCTCCATGTCTATACACAGAAAAAAAATCCTATTATGTTTAAACAATTGTATGCTTTTCATATTCTCATGTTTTTCTATTGTTCGATTGTTTCTTTAATTTTTAAGGAATCCCGTTGGAGGAGATTTCTCGAAATTTTTGACTCTGAGCCTGGTGTGGTGAAAATTGATGGCCTTGTATTCAACCAAAAACAGAAGATTGCAAATGGATGCAATGCAGCAGAAGTGTTTCCAGGAGTCTTTCACAACTGCCTTGTGGCAGTTAAACGAGTTGCTAAACACGTTTGTGAAAAGGAATTGGAAATAGCAAATTTTCTTTGTTCAGAAAAGTTACAAACTGAACATCTGTTGCAGCCCCTTACTGTGTTGGAAGACACATATTTTGTCTACTTCGTCTCCCATCTCTGCGAATATAATCTCATGGAACTGATTGAAACTAAAGATTTTCCTGAGAGACAAAACTTGACAGAGCAGCGAAGACTACAGATCTGCCAAGAGTTATTGCTGGGACTTGAGGAACTGCACTCGCATGGAATTTTGCACAGAGATTTGAAGCCTGAAAACATCTTGTTTGGTAAAAGAAATGTCATGGCAAAACTATCCTGTTATTTTTACTTATAAATGTAAAAGATCAAAATGTTAGTTTGAATGATTTTACGGTTCAATGTTTGAATTAGTAAATGACCTTTTTTTTCTTTTTGTACAGATATCAACAATAAACTTTACATTGGAGACTTTGGAGCAAGCAGGAAACTGGATCTTGCACAGACAACGTTGTTTTCACAAATGGCTGGATCCTTTTCCTGGTCCAGTTATGAGGATGTTGGAGGTCTAAAGTATAGATACAAGAAGGAATCAGATATCCAAGTATGTTCACCTTGTAAATGTTATATGATGGTTTATTTTGATTCATAATCAGCAAGTGTTTGGATTTCTTCAAATGTAATAATAGAATTACACCATGGTAAAATGCCCATTTGTAAATATTCAAAGTATTTAATTAGGGATGAGTGAGTACACCACTGTCTGTATCTGTATCTGTTCAACCACCTAAATCCCCTATATCTGTACTTGGAGTGGGCGTGGCCTAACCCGGAAGTGGGTGTAGTTTAACCGGAAACGGGTGTGGTTTACATCAATACATTATTTTTAAGCCTGATATTGATATGGATTGATCAGAAGTTGCTATGCATATTGTTTATTTGAAAACTATTTACAGAGCAGCCTCAGAGTTTAAATAAAATATTTTGATCACAATAGTAAAGGAATTATTACAAAACAAGTTTTTCAATAAAATCAGAACATTACTATTTAATTGCATGTATTAATACATCTGAACTCATGCAGTAGGAACTAGGAAATATGAAAGACTAGAACCAGACACAACTTTTTATTTTGATTAAACAGATTGGCCAGTAAAATAGAGAGCCCGCCCCTCCCTACACACAAAACTGCAGCCGGGAGCTCTGCTCAGTCCGTGTCCGGTTCATCTACGCACACACACAGACAGTAACGGATCTCTCTGTGCTTGCTTCACTGTTCACGTTTCTTCAGTACTCCCTATGTTTCTTCAGTTTGCTTCTTTTTAAAGTTACTTTAAAGTTATTTAAAGTTATTTTTTTCGTAACGTACGTGGTGCATTTGACAAGACAGAGCTGAAAACGGCTCGTGCTGCGTCAGCCACTGCTTCCGCTCCAGTAGGGGTTCTTTTTCCCCCCTCTCTCTCTCCTCTTCCTTTGGAGGATCCACTCCCTCTTTCCTATTCACTCTCTCTCTTTCTTTACATTTTTAATCACAATTGTCTATTTTTTGCACATTTTAAATATATTTTAAACATTTTCTAAATGATTTTTTCTATTTTACATGTTTTGTTTTTGTGAAGCGCCCTGTGATTTTTATCTTGAGAGGCGCTATAGAAAAGATCTTTTCTTCTCTCTCTCTCTTAATCTATGCACTTAAATATTAATGTTCTGATTTTATTGAAGAACTTGTTCTGTAATAGTTCCTTTACTATTGTGATCAAAAACATTTAATCTCAACTCTGAGGCTGCTCTGTAAATGGTTTTCAAATAAACAATACACATGGCAACTTCTGATCAGACATAAAATAACGTATTGATGTAAACCACACCCACTTCCAGTTAAACCACGCCCACTCCGAGGACAGATAATTTAGATGGTTGAACAGATACAGATAGTGGTGTACTCGCTCATCCTTAAAAACAATGTTGATTAAAGTGTGTGTGTGAGAGAGATACAGAGAGGGAGAGAGTGAGTGTAAAAAAAAAACCCAGACCGGAGCGGAGGCAGTGATTGGCGCAGCATGAGCTGTTTTCAGTTCTGTTTTGTCAAATGCACCACCTACGTTACGAAAAAAGCTACTTTAAATATTAAACCAAAAAAGAGGCGAGCTAAAGAACCCCTAGGGAGTACTGAAGAAACGTGAGCAACAGTGAAGCAAAAACAGAGAAATCCGTTACTGTCTGTGTGTGTGCATGGATGCGCAGTGTTGCTCCCGGCTACAGAGTTTTGTGTGTAGGGAGGGGCGGGTGTTCCATGTGACTGGTCAACCACCAGTGTTGGGAGTAACGCGGTACAAATGTAATTAATTACTGTAATGCATTGCTTTTTGCTGTAATGTGGTAATGTAAGGCATTACAGGGAAAGAAAATGGTAATATTTACTCGGTACAATTGTCAGTAACGCGGTAATTACAATGCATTTTTAAACCCAGAATCAAGCTGTGTTTCTTAAAAATTCAAATTGCGGGAAACCCGGAAAAAGTTCCAGTATCTGCATATATGACATCATTAATGGACTCAGCTTTGTGGGCAGAGAGGACGCAGCGGTAACGGCTCAAATACTCCAGCTGCATCCTGCACGCGGCCGCTGTAACATTCACAAAATCGCTCCACTAAAACAAAATAATTCACTTGCGATCGTTCATATCAGCGCATATTCTCTGGTATTCTGTACTTTTCTGATGTGCTTTGCCTCAGCTGAGTTCATCTGGGCTCCGGTGATTTCAACTCATTGCTGCTGGAGCGCCGCACATGTGAAGATCCTTTTGGCTGATTAGTTAGAAAGTAGGAAATCTAGGAAACGGGTTTTCTGGAAGACGGAGAAAACCTGCAGCAGGCAGGAAGGTTAGAGAGAGAAAAGGCCGGAAATGATTCAAATAAAATCAAGAAAACAAAACAAAGTGCTTGAAAAGAAAAAAAAGTAGGTAGATTTATCCCCAGCACACATTTTTACCTGTGAAAAGCAATAATATATAAGCATTTAATATTTATACATGTGATAGAATCAGATCACCCCAGAAGTCAGTCCCACATCCAGGGCCGTATCAAGCATTTGGGAACCAAGGCAAATATAGGCTTGGAGCCCCCACCACCTCACTCGCTGCTCAGTTAATCTAAGATGGCAGCATGCCGAGAGTACAGATTGTTGTTGCTTTTATTTAATAAACAATCATTTTAAAGCACTGTTATTATATCTGACTGTTTTTAACAGCAATCCTAGCTCAGACACCACATCACCTTCCACCGGATGTGTCATGAGTTCACCAGGCATCAGATTACCAAACTCATACTGACGTTGTTTTGTTCAAAGTAACTTAGAGTAATGCAAAAGTAGTGTAATGCCTTACATTTTAAAATCAGTAATATTGTAATGTAATGAATTACTTTAAAATAAAGGTAAAAATTAATAAATAATGCATTACAGTTTTGAAGTAACTTGCCCAACACTGTCAACCACAGAGCGTGAAGACAGTCAGTTGCCCAATGAGGATTTTCCTTCAGCACGATTACAGATATTTACGAGTTTTACTCGTTTCATGCTCGTACTCATCAAAAATGCTTTATCCGTACCGGATACTCGTCTGAAATGAGTGTACGGCTCATCCCTATATTTAATCAAATGTTTTAATTATAATTATTGTTATTCACTATGTTCAATATGGCTAGTTTTGTGCAAATTACATAATGCAAAGAGCTGTCATTGTGATTGTTAATTACATTGTTTTGATGTATTTTGTTACATTTTAGGTAGCTGGTTGCTTGCTGCATTACATCTTGACCGATGGACAACATCCCTTTCAAAGTAGATTACCCTACTCTGACGATCCCATTGGACTATCTCAAAATGTCAGAATGGGCAACTTCACTCTTCAATTTGAGGAAAAATGGAGCAGCCAAAAAGGTATTATTACCAGGATGCTAAGTAGGTCACTTGAAGAACGTCCCACCATCGAAGAATGTCTTAAGGCTGTCACGTGTAAGTACCATAATTTTAAATTTAATGTTTTATAGATTGGAAAACACCATCTTAAATCATTTCCATGAAAGTTGATTAACCTTATTTTAATTTATTTCAGGTTTGACACATCGGTCTGCTGGTACTGGAACAATGAACAAGGCTGAGAATGAGAATCAAAATAAAGTATGTTTTTACAAGTGGCTTGGGCAATATTAGGTTCATTTACTGTAACACACCAACAATTTTGCTACAGTAGAGATTTTGTTTTACTGTTTATTCCAATGCCTACATTTTCACTGTCACTTGATATAAGAATTGATCCACTAATATTTGTTGTTACAGATTGGAACCCATACAGCAAATTGCTGTCCTCAGAAAACAGATGAGATAGACATTGATGAGGATAATGTCAGTGATCAACCTGAGATTACTGGAAGTAACCTGTTGACTTCATCTTCTGTCTCAGGGGAGGACTTTTCTGAGTGTGAAATGGTAATTAATGGTTTGAATATCTAAACAGTGGTGAAGAATATATTAACTGTGAAATGTTGATGCATGTATTATCATTTTATTATTTGCAAAATAATACTTTTTTCCCCCCAGACCACCAAGGAACAGGTTGCCTTTTCTCTGCAAATGTCAGATGAAGAAGTAGAAGACGATAAACAATCAGAAGAACAAATGAAAGGAAAGGAAGTCATCTCTGGAAAACCACCGTATAAAATCAAACAGTCTTCACACGACTCTCAACAACATAACGTCACAGTAAAAATGTCTTCAAACACTGCACACCAACGTGTCTACGATAAGAAGAATTATTGCCTTTACTGTGAAAAGCCTTACACAAAAATCACAAGACATCTGAAGCAAAAGCATTCAGATAAACCTGATGTCGCCAAGGCACTTGCGCACAAGAAAGGATCAGCCATGCACTGCTTATTTTTGACCAAAGTAAGAAACATGGGAAACTATAACCACAACTGTTCTGTCCTGTCCTCTGGAAAAGGACAAATTATACCAAAAAGGCAAGCAACTTATCCATCAGGTGCAACAGACTACCTGCCTTGCAAGTTTTGTTTTGCCATGTACATCAAGACCGATCTCTGGAGACACCACAAGCGTTGTAGACTGCAAGTAAACGAGGACAAGGCTGTGAAAAGAAGGATCCAGGCAAGTTGTTCACTGATGTTACCAATGGAGAACACAGTTTCCAATGGTCTTAAAACTGTTCTCCAGGAAATGACGTATGATAATGTAACTCAGTTAGTAAAGGCTGACACCCTTATTATATCACTGGGAGAGAGAATGTTCCTTAAAAATGGAGAAGTTGGACGACATCGAGCAGACATCAGAAATAAAATGAGGGAACTCGCCAGACTTGTTCTTATTGCAAGAAATCTAGACAAGGACATCATTTTTTTGAAGGACTTGATCTGCCCTGGAAAATTCAACACAGTCCTTGAGGCTGTAAAACAGATGACTGGGTTTAATGAATTATCAAACAGATTCTCAGTGCCCTCAACAGCCCTTAAACTTCGCCATTCTCTTGTGAAAGTGTCATACATTTTGCAAGGAGAGGCCCTGCGTCAACAGGATGATGATTTAAAGTCAAAAGCAGAGCAATTTATCAAGCTAATTGAACTGGAATGGACAACACATGTGTCATCCAATGCCCTAAAAACTCTATACCAGAAAAAATGGAACAGCCCTCAAATACTGCCTTTGTCAGGAGACATAAAAAAACTTCAGGACTACCTAAAATGCCTTGAGGTGGTCCACAAAAAAAATCTTTCTGACCAACCATCACAAAAATCTTGGAGTGAGTTATCTCAAATCACTCTCACACAACTGATACTGTTCAATCGTCGCCGAGAAGGTGAAGTTTCAAGAATGGAACTCAACACATATTTACAGAGGAACAAACACAACATGCATGATGACATTTTGGAGAGCCTCTCGCCATTTGAAAAAAAACTTTGTGAGAATCTCATCAGGGTGGAGGTACGAGGGAAAAGAGGCCGCAAAGTACCTGTGCTGTTCTCATTAAATATAAAAGAATCTGTGGAACTTCTTATAAAAACAAGAAAAGAGGCTGGGATTTCCCCCACTAATCCCTACATTTTTGCCCGTCCGTTTTATGGCTCACAAGAGAGCATTCGTGGATGTGATAGCTTGAAGCGGTTTGCAGAAAGTTGTGGAGCTAAACAGCCGGAAAATCTCACATCAACAAAACTACGAAAGCATGTAGCCACGATTTCACAGCTCCTTAACCTGCAAAACCATGAACTAGACCAACTGGCCACTTTTATGGGACATAATATTGATGTGCATAGGGAGTTTTACAGACTACCTGAAGAAACGCTCCAACTGACAAAAGTCAGTAGACTTCTTTATGCTCTGCAAGGTGGAATGGGTAAATTCAAAGGAAAATCCCTGGAAGACATCACACCTAACATCGACTGTAAGTGAATGATTACATTTTTTTCTTAATGTATTATTAGATAACATAAGGTGAATACTTTGTTTAAAATATGTGTGTTTAATTATTTACTTAAAACATTTTATTGCAGCTGAAAAAGAATCAAGTGATTCAGATGGAGATGCACAATGTGAGGCAACTGCTACCACATGTCAAAAAGGTAAGTTTTTCCACTATATTCACTGTAATAATGGTAAATTAAAATCATTAACCCTTTAAGACCTGCAATAGAACAAGTTCGCCAGAACTTATATTTACATTTTTATATGCTGTGGTGCCAATTTTTGCTGTATTTCAACTTTCTATACATCAATACAACCCTAACATTCTAAAATATAAATTGTTCATAGCAACAAAATATTTTCCTAAAAAATGCAATTATCTATACAGAAATTGATAATTGTTTTTTGTTTTTACACATATTTTTCATTATACAGAAATACCACAGCTTTATCCCTCAAAATTGTCAATGGAAAAAAGTTTCACAGAAACGTTTCAAACAACCAAAAATTTATTTGAAGAGCTTCCATAAAATAGTTTCCGAGATACACTCATTTATATGAACTGTAACAAAAATGAAAACATAAATAATAATAATCTGCAGGAGTCTAATATAATAATGTTGAATATTTTTAGCTAATTTTTCAGTAGTATATAGTTTTCCTTTTCTCTCACTAATAATAATAACAATAATAAAGAATATTGCATGAATATATATGTGAGGAAACTGAAAGTGAAACTTAAAAATCCTCTGGCGCTGTAATGGCGTCATCTGCTTTGAGGAGGGAGGATGTACCGTTTGGTGAGACTGTGATTCATCAAAACGTTCGTAGTGGTGTGTGTATGTGTCAGAAGTTTGTAATGGGTGTGTGATGTGTGTAGGATGTGTTTGTCCAAACGTATTATTGCGAAAAAGCACAAGAAAAAAGCCGAAAAACTGGGACTACAAAGAACTACAATTCGCTGGAAAATTACGTCAAAGCAAACGATTTGGAGAGTGATAATCATGTGACAGTTCACGTTGACAACGTGATGATGTTTATTCTAGCGTGTGACGCCCCGTGAGCTGCAGATCAGAAAGGCACAGCGTCAGTGTCTGAATGAAAACGCTTTTCTTATTTGCGCATTTTGGTTGTTTTTTGCAAACTCATTAGCAGAAATACGCAGCACTCTGGGACATATTCAGTGTGTGAGATTTAAGTGTAACTCCGGTTTAATATGCAAAAAAAAAAGTTTTGTTCTATCTTAATAGTTTTAGTTTTACAAGCATTTGAACACAGATTTGCAAACGGGAGCGCCGGCACTCCCGCCGGTCTTAAAGGGTTAAATCCACTATTTGTAAATCATTAAGTCAATTTCATCCCATGTTAACAACTTAACATTTGCCAACAGTGCTTTTTTCAGAAATTTCAAAGGATAGACCCTGCAAAGAGAGCACAGCTGAATCAAAAAAGGCTACTGGGGGCATTAAAAAATCATCAGTGCCATTGCTTAAAAAGGGTGAGTTACTCCTTATGTTCTGTTTCTTTTCAATCTCCATTAGTTTTTTCTTGTTTAATACAAAGCTTAGCAATGTTTTTTTTTTTACCTTGAATTGCTGACAGTTTTTCAAGTGAGTTACTCATTTCACTCTGTATAAGGCAGAGGTAGGGAACCCCGGTCCTGGAGAGCCGCTATCCAGAACATTTTAGAGGTTTCCCTGCTTCAACACAGTTGAATAACCTGTTCAGCAGCTCATCAGACTCTACAGAAGCATGTTAATCACCTGCTGATTGAAATCAGGTTTGTTGAAGCAGGGAAACCTCTAAAACATGCTGGATAACGGCTCTCCAGAACCAGGGTTCCCTAACCTATATAGTAATAAATCTAAATTGAATATCTTGACATTTGTTGACCAGATTGTGCGTGATTTTTATTAATCCATTTATTACTTTCTCTTGTTAATTTACTAACAGGGAAACCCAAGAAGCCCTGGTCAGAGACTGAGAGAGAAGTCATTGACGAGCATTTCAAGAACTTTCTAAAGGAAATGAAAATTCCAGGAAAAGCAGAGTGTCAAAGATGCCTAAATGACAATCAGCTTCTGAGGGATAAAGGAAGAGACTGGAAAGCAGTAAAATATTTTGTGCACAACAAAATTACTGCTATGAGGAGGTCTTTGTGCTAACAATAACAAAACCAGTAATCCTAAGTTCTTAAGAGAAATCAGTGTAC